ATACATACACACACATACTTACATACCAACAATGCCTACAGACACATGCCGACAGATACATCACACACGATGCGTAACAGGCACACAGGCACATGAATGGAAGTACATACATACATACGCACATACGGACATACATTTTAGATACGGACAGACAGACAGACAGACAGACAGACAGACATACACGCAGCCAGGCAGACAGACAGACATGAATTCACAGTTACACAGATGCATTGATGGATACACGCGTGATTACACGAATGAATAACTGGGCACATGCTGGGGCCGCCTTGCCCTCCACGTGCTCGATGTTGCCTCGCGCCCCCTGCTCGTCAAAGCCGGTGAAGACCCGCGCGAAGTTCATGATGTCCTCGCGAAAGATGTCGGCTCCACAACTGAAGGTTCTTAATACGAGAACTGAGGCTGAAGCCTCTACTTGTAGGTGCGAAAAGACATCCGGCAAACGACTTCATGAGGTTTCAAAGGCGGGGCGCACGGCGACAAGCATTTGCGCACTCCAACCACTTTTCTCACATATTTTCTCGATGCCCGACCATGAAACACTTATCTTTCGGCATCTGATGCCACTCTGCAGGCATAGTATATCTATTTGGCACCTATGCATGGATCCCCGCCTCGTTGCTGTAAGTCGGGATCGGGCTGCCCTCGCTGTCCAGCATCCTTAGCAACTGCGAGGATGAGGACCTAACAGCCAAAAAAATGTGAGAGGATCAGGGCCCAGGGTCGGGCGGTACTTCAAGGGAAATCTCGGGGCTCAGGGATGGGAAATTTAGGCACAACGTCGTGTTGTTTTTTCACGATTGCTCCTGCACGCCAAGTATCCGGGAGCCGTCGGGATTCAGGCGCCAAAGCCCAATAGTGAAGAGCTGCATGATCTTGCCAGAGCAATGGAGGGCATGGTGTTCAACGGTGTTCTGGCTGACGCCTTAAGGTCTACCTTGTCCGCTTAGCACAGACTCTTTGGCTGAACATTTTTTTCACGATCCCTGGTGCCGAGGTCAGCTCGCGAAATGCCACCCACATACACCCTCATTTCGGGCGGCATAGAAAGTCTCTAATGACATGTTGTGAGCACCAACCCAAAAACTGAGGGTGCGTGAAAACAACCTATTAATTTGTTGCTTATGTTTTGCAGGACTTTAGGACATAAAGAGCATAGTGCCACCCGGAGAAGAACATTACAAAACTGCTCCGACACTCGAGATGCTGGCAAGACAAGCAGTAAGTGCAAATTTAAGTTTATGGGGACTGCTGACATAGGTTCTCGGGAACTTCAAAACCCCATGCGTGTTGGTCAGGCACCTGCTGCCGGAGCAAGAGCTGCTGCTATGGTCACGATATCGATTGGGGTAATTTTGATCCCGCATTCTCACACCGTAATGATTTTGTCGTTTACTCTTATCGTGTTATAAGGACAAGGCCCTGGCTTCCTACGGACTTTCTCAACAAACCCTTCGTCATCGTTCAAGCGACGCTACGCTCCCTTCTCAGGCCTCACGTGCATAGTTTTCGTCTGGGTATGCACCATCACTGTCGAAGGCCCGATTCCTCTTGTACGTGAGGTAGTCGCCCATGACCTGATGCACTGACTAACCAAAACAGAACTACTGTACATTCATGTGCAGATCGAGTCGGCTTTGCTCCGGCTTTCCATCCGTGCTACAACCATCGCTTGCACAGCTAGAAGTGCCGGTCCTGCGTTCCATGGCATCACACTGCGAAGGACAAGCCATCCTACATTTTGCAAAAGCTGGGAGATGGCCAGGTTGGCATTGTACACTGATGGCCATGCAAGTGGAAAATTACGCTGAAAGACCAAGTGACCTAGTGCAAGAATTTGCTGTCGCAAGGCAGCACAAACACCGAAATCCCAGTCAGGTGGCCGGACTGTATGTGACCTCGCGCAGGATGTCCCCGAAGTTCCCAAATGCGTGCCGCACAAAGATGTCGTAAAAGTGCACATACCTGTGTTCTGACATCAGGTGCAACATGTGAGAACTACCAGGCTCCAAATAAATGTAGCAACGGATTCCACTCTCACCACTCATCTCAAAGTGCTTCCTGGCCACATCTCGGTGTGACGCGCAGTGGCATCATCTGGCGCTACGACGAAAATCTGCGATGGAGGCGGTTCTGGGCTTCGAAACGTCAACAGCTGCTCCCATAACATCAAATCTCACCTGCAACCTGGCCTCCAGCGGTCCTGAACCCAAAGGTCTAATGTAATGACTGCCAGTACAACAAACTAAATAAACAAAGGTCAGGTATTATGCCGCCTCGAAGTTAACCCTGAACCCGGAAGCTTTTGCTAAAGGTTTGCTGGAGGCATGAACAGCACCTGCACTCCGCGTTTGCAGATGCAAGATTTTGGGCATGCCGCTTCTTATGCGACAGCTCACTGAATGAACCTCGTTCGTAACTTCAACATGGGAATCTGACTGTTAAGCCTCAGACATACCTCCAATATCGCTGTCCATGTCGTCGTCGCACAAATGGCATCCAGGATCTACAGGCCCCCCACACCCAAAGCCTGGGCCAGCGCCCACGCCATGCGCTGGCGGAGCTGATCCGGGGCCTCCGGCTTCACAAGAGGCGGGTCGGCGCTTGTGGCTCCTACTGCTGCTCCTACGGCCTGTTTTCTGATCGGAAGTTTATCCTCGACTTTGCGCAGCGCATTCTCTCTTGATTGCATTGCTGCCTCAAAGGCCAGCATGGTCCAGATGGAGGCCCGGCCGAGGTCGGGAACCTTCAGCAAGCAGAAGGTTGGCGTTTCAACTTCAACAGCTTCAACAGCTGTGACTTCCGAAGGTCTTTCGGTCGACGGCTTGGGACCAGGGTTCAGGTTGCAGGGTGCACGCGAGAGACCTCTGCTGGTGTGTCGTAATCCACATCGAAGGCGGTGTCCAAGTGGTCCTGCCGGCGATTCATAGCGGCCACACAGTTCACGATATGATAAGAAAATTTGCTTGAAGTTTAGAGGTTGTGTCGCAGTCTTCTCTCCTAGCTGTCTGGAGACCAGTGGCACAGTTATGCTGCAGCATTTGCCACACTGCGCAGAGCCTGAAGAGTTTCGGGTTCCACCCCGCCCCTCAGCTCTCCTTGCAGACATCGGAACTCTTAAGGCGGGTGTATGCAATGCAAGAACCAAAGCTGCCAGGAGCTGGACACGCGGCAAGCCGGAATACTTGCGGCATGCAAAGACGGCGACGTACCCTGCAGAGCCAAGTCATAACTACCCCCCCCAGTGCGCCTCAGAAACGTGGAAGGAGTACTGATGGCCCGCTGCCAGGTCGTTGGCCACCTGCATTGGACGACACACTTCAGCCCCAGACGCGTTGGGAAGATAGACTCGAAATCTTGACAGCTTGCCGCCGGCATGAGTTCTCTTCATCTGCCTTTGTATGGCCCATGCGCAACAAGTGCCTGAAGACCCTTCTGCCCCAGTAGCTCTCACTGCCTCGAGCTTGGGAGGGAAATGCTTAGGGCACAAGCCAAAGTCTGCCGCCTCTCCAGGCGAACCGCAAACTTCGGCAAAACCATCGAAGCTCTCCTTCGCAGGAGATTTCCAGGATCCGATGTACAGGCAAGCACGTAAAGATGACTGATAGACTAACAAACACGAAATATCAAAATGCATACTTATGTTCATGCAATAAAACAGATGCAATAGAACACATGCACCCAAAATCGAAGCTGGTTGAAAGCTTCCGCAGGTAGACATGTGTTGTATAAATTAGCAAGAACAGCTGTGTTCCGAAAGAACCAGCAAAATGTAGGAGCATCAGTGTACCGAAATCGACAAGAGTTATGTTCAAAAATATATATATATATATGTATGTATAAACTGATTGATTGGTTTTCGTGCGTGTGCATCTACATGTGTATGGATATGCAGCAAGTATATGCAAAGTATTGTCGGTCCAGTCATCTGAAACTCACACAACCCAACTGCCTTAACCTGAGGCCCGTGCAAGCGCACCAAAGGCCGTCGCCAGCGGAAACGTTTGCAGAGTCTGCGGCAGACTCCTGGCCGAATCCGAAAGCTTTCTATACTCTTGGTTGATACATTCTAGAATTCTTGGTTCATCCGGTACTGCTGATGCATTGACAAAGTGGAATCCGTTTGCCAGGTCTCGAAGGTCGTGCATGATCAGAACTGTCATCATGAAGAGATGATGCATGTGTTTAATAATCGAACGTGCATACCAAGCCGTACCGTCAGTCATTGCTACGGCAGGTGCAACAGGAAGCAATGGTGTAATGCGTCATAACGATTTGATCAGCAAAGTCATCACTCTGGGCAAGCTGCCGCACAAAAGCTGCTGCCCCTTGTAGTGAGCAGAACTCGAATCTGAATATCACTCACAAGCCGAAGACTAACCCCCAACAACGGAAAGCCCAACAGCCCACGAGCCGGGTGCACAGGAAGCTCATCGAGTCCCCGAAGCGGCCCACGAAGTTTGACCAGATATTTCTCGGAAATGGCTTGTGGATGATTGTAGCCCCGGGTTTTGCTCTGCGTTTGGTTCAACACCGGGGTAGCGGCGGGTTTCAACATCTTGACTTCCAAGAACCATGGTCGGAGACTTAAAGTTTCCGACTGGAAGCCTGAAAACTTCTTGGCGGTTAATGCTGACTAACAATAGCGAGAATAACAAGAGTCAGAGGAGAAATGACCAGAGCATTACATAGTGGAACGTCATAGCCGTTATCAAGAAAGATGTCATCATCATCATCATATCATCATCATCATCATCATCATATCATCATCATCATCGTATCATCATCATCATCATCATCAACATCATCAACATATCATCATCATCATCACCATCATCATCATCATAACATCATCATCATCATCATCATCATCACCATCATCATCATCATCATCATCACTGACGAAGTGCTGAAGCAGCGCCCCCACCTCTTCCGTCTGCTCATCAACACATCAGTCTTCGTTCGCCGTCATCATCATGGCCATCATCAGCGTCTTCTTCTTGATGTTCATCTTCAGCAACATGACCATCGTCAGCTATCATCACGATCATGATCATCATGGTCCTCATCAACACCATCACCATCACGAAACATCATCAGCAACGCATCATCATAACGATAAAGGGTCCTACAATGCAGGTATGAGCTTCGAGAACCGGTTCTTAGACGTCGGAGGAGCTGAAAGCGCTGTCGGTTAGCCTCACAGAAGGATGTGCACTAAAGCCTTCCACCTGTGCTAAGCGTACTTGGTCACAGCATGAGCCTTTCAAGCATCCGACATTCCACTCGAACAGGTGGGCTCGGTGGTGTTCTGAAACTCCATGGTGTCATCCCGAAGCCCGCCGGAAACGTCAATCCTCCTGAAACTTGAGCCCGAAGCCAGAGTACCCCAACAACCATCACGAAACCCCAAAACCCCGAAGTCCACCAATCCGAGCAAAAGCCCTGAGGCCCTTAGGCGGCTGGGCCGCTCTTTCGCGATGGGGGAGCTCCATCGCCCCATTGGATGGGAGGCCGGGTACTTGAGGATGAAGCCCTGGCTGGGGTCTTCTTGGCGTCTCAGAGGGCTACGGGCTTGAGGTTTTGGGAGTGTCAGGGACCGGCGAAAGCCACTCTCAGATTGTTAAGCTCTTGGGTGATGTTGGCGTGCCGACCAGGTTGACCCCATCACTCGTTACGGACAAGGCTGGCTGCTCAAACAGATATCGCTGAACTGGAGCAGGCATGATGGCAAGATGTGTCAGAAAAGCCCCGGAGCAGAATAGCGAGATACCTGCAAGCTTAAATTGAGCATGTCAGGCTGGGACGAAGCGAATCACGCAGCAAACAAGCAGCCAAGAAACAATGGGAAGTGGCACGGCCACGAACAAACGGACTCTCTACAACCTGGGTCCTAAGATGTCCTCAAACAACAAATTCAAAGAAAGCTCTACCCCAGCACATCGCCCTCCCGACCCTCGCTGTCCACTGGAGGATCTTGTCCGGACCACCCGGATGATTGGACACCCAATCGGTGAAGTCGTACACATTGTGCTCCTGCTCTGCTTGAAGTTGGTGTTGAGGCTAGGGAGGCTGCTTGAGGTTTTCCAGAACTTTGCCGCGTCGCGAAGCTCTCCCTGTGCTTGGTCCTCAACCCTAAACTCCAAACGCCTGAGATCAAAAACCGGACTCAACTCCCATGAACCCTTCAAACAGAACATCGGGTCTCAAGGTCCTAAACCCTCCAAGGCAGAACCTCCATTCCCTCAGACTCTTAATCTTGGATCAAGCCTGAGGATGCACGTTCTGGAAGAACTTGCCATCGACTTCGACGATGGAGTTCTCGCAGCAGGAAGTTTTGGGGCTTAGAGGGGCGTGGGATTTTTTCTGCTTTCCGGGCTAGATGACTGCCTGGAGTTTACGATTTCGATCGGGGTCTTCGGCTTGCAGTTCTGCGCCATGCAGACCAAGTTCTCGAAACGACGATATGTAGTCGCGTGATGACTTGGGCCATGCATTCAAGATCCGTTTCTCTGAAACCTACTGTGCGATCGCCGTGAACTCAAGACACGGGTTTGGAAAATAGGCACAGAATACGGTCCACTTTGGATGCCACGTCGGGCTGCTCTGATGACTCTAGCATTGAACTCGAAGCCGTGCAGCATGGAGCATGGGGCCGCTGGCCTGTGGAACGCTGGTGCATCCCACGTTAATGTCCCGAAGCCAGCCTGGTGGCATCGAAAGGTTGACCCGAAGGGCCGAACTAAGTGCTTTGTGAGGCTTCGGCATCAGGACCATCCAGTGAACATCTGACGACCGTTCAGTTTCTGATGTTATGAAGCAAAATGCACGATGATCAGAGATTCACGGGCGCCCAGAGTTTGACCCCTCAGCCACTCGCCCTGCCCCGGAACTGATTCTGAATTTCTGCAGGCGAGTCGAGATGGAATCCTCACGATTCGTATCAGCACGAGCAGCAGCAACACAATGCTGACGACAGTGACCACAACGACCAAAGAGATCAGCACGACTACGACCACAACCACGACGAAAATGAGGACAATGAGTAGCAGCACCAGCCTTCTTCCTCTGCCAGGGCCGATCTGACGAGGGCCATGTCGCTGCCGGTCAGTGCCGAAGCAGTGCAGTCCACGGCCGCGCAATCGAGCTGCTTCCATCTTGGCAGCAACTCAGAGCTCTCCTATCAAAGACCCCGACTGCCCCTGATCATGGAAAGCACAAACCGGGCATCCAAGCAATGGCCCACAGCATCCAGCATACTCTCAACAAACCTTGAAAAAGGCATACAACTTTGCAATAAGCCCGCCACCGAGAGAGCTGGTTGCAGGGGGAATCCACAGCCAACAGGTCTGTCAGAGCATATACCTCGGATTTCACGCTCTCGACTCTGAGATGCACCATTCGGAGCTTTCACTTTGATTTGCGTGAAGTCCTCTTGGGTCGCGAGTGCTCGCGTTTGGGACAAGGCTTCCTGTGCCGGTGGAGGTTTGGGGGGCGCTTGGGGTGGGGTGTTTGGTTTCCTTTTGTTCGGCGGAGTTTATGCTTGAATGTAGGCTCGAGTGAGACCGCGCTGCGAAGAAACTCTGCTAGAGTTCGAAGCGGATCTGCTACATTGCTGCTACATGTGTTGCAGCTGATCCTGTACAGCACTACCATCACCGCCATGCAGAGCATAGCCCCAGGTCACGACAGATCCATTGGCAAGAATGGCGGCAAAAGCCCTCTCAAGCGCTTGGACCTGCTGTACGTTCGTCAGCTGATCCTGCACAGCCGCGCTATAACCACCACAGTGAGCGTCGCCCCAGGTCACGACAGTTCTATCCTGAAGAATGGCGGCAAAAGCTCGCTGGGAGGCTTGGATTTGCTGCACATTCTTCAGGTGGTCCTGTATAGCACTACTGTCGCCGCCATAGTCAGCATCACCCCAGGTCACGACAGATCCATTGTCAAGAATGGCGGCAAAGGCCCGTTCAGAGGCTTGGACCTGCTGCACGTTTTTCAGCTGATCCCTCACAGCACTGCTGTCACCACCTGATCTAGCATCTCCCCAAGTCACGGCAGATCCATCACGAAGAATGGCAGCAAAAGCAAAGGTAGACGCCTGGATCTGCTGCACATTAAACAGCTGATCCTGCACAGCACTAATGTCACCACCATAGTCTGCATCGCCCCACGCTACCACGAATCCGTCACCAAGAATAGCAGCGAAAGCAAAATAAGAGGCTTGGATTTGATTCACAGTCTTCAGTTGATCCTGCACGCCACTGCTACAACCGCCATAGCCAACATCGCCCCAGGTCACGACAGATCCATCGTCGCGAATGGCAGCAAAAGCTCGCTCAGAGGCCTGGACTTGCTGCACATTTTTCAGCCGGCCTTGCACTGCGCTGCTGTCAACATGGCCCCACGTTACAACAGATCGATCTTGAAGTATGGCAGCGAAGGCAGAGTGGGATGCCTGGATTTGCTGCACATTCTTCAGGCGGTCCTGTACAGCACTACTGTCGCCGCCATAGTCAGCATCACCCCAGGTCACGACCGATCCATTGTCTAGAATCGCAGCAAAAGCTCGTTCAGAGGCTTGGACCTGCTGCACATTCTTCAGCTGACCCTGCACAGCACTGCTGTCTCCACCCGGTCTTGCAGAACCCCACGTTACGACAGATCCATCGTAAAGAATGGCGGCAAAGGCTCGCTCAGAGGCTTGGACCTGCCGCACGTTTTTCAGGTGATGCTGAACAGCACGGCTGTCACCACCGGATCTAGCATCTCCCCAGGTCACGACCGATCCATCGCCGAGAATGACAGCACAAGCCGATCTGGAGCTGTGTGCCAGGGTTGCGTTTATGTGCAAGGTCAAAACATCACCATCGTGCACACTTGCTTCCTGGACTGATACAGATCCATCCAACATGCACCCGGATGAATCCAGCAGCCGCCCTTTGAAGACTCCGAGCGCGGTCTGCGCACGAAGTTTCAATGTTTCTACCTTTTCATCCAAGCCTGCTTTCAACGTGACTTTCCTTCCGCTGAGAAGTCCGATTTCTGTGGTAATCGACATGCACACTGGAAACAATGCCAAGCTCTCTAGGCCATGAGCGCAATTCGATGGGATGAACTTGAGGTACCACTGCCCCCTGAACCCCGAGCCCGCTTGCACAAGCCTCCAAGTCCCAGAACAAATAAACATCCTCATATGTGACCCTGAAGCCTCACAATGCCTCACATGGAGCCATCCCCTATGCAAGCAGCAGCTTGAGAGCCATCGGACTGCTGATTACAAGATACATCTGCCCGATGCGACTGCCTTGAACAATGAAGCCGTCTGACAAGGCTAGATGCATTATCCACCCACCCACCCCCCCCCCCCCTCCACCAGCACTCTGTTGCTTCCACATCTCCTAATGAGCGAGGGCGCATAGCGTCCTCCGGTCTGGAAGAACTTCTCTAGCGTGCTCACCTGGGCAAACGACCGTGCTGAGCATGAACAACGCCGGATATGCCAATAACTGCAAGTGTGAAGGGTGTCCCAAACCAGTGTCCTAGTTGTGAGGTATGTTCAGTCGCGGAGGATTGACGTGCAAGGGCACTATGACGGGCTGGGCGAGGCGGCTTCGTTAAGTAGATCATAGTAGATCGAGGGCTCTAAAATCATGAGGCCCTCGAGCAATAGCGAGCCAGGACACGTTGAGATCCAGTTGGACACCACGCATCTCCAGCGGAGCACATCCGGGAAGCAGCCTGCAACTCGCCTTCCGCGGGGATAAAAGTGCAGCGAGGAGTGGTCGGTGAAGGGGGGCAGTAGGATTGCTGACATCTGGAGTACAGATACAGTTCTGCAGGTGCTACTTTACGAGTTGAAGAAGCCGCACCTCTGTCTGAGATCTGGAACCTCACCGGCAAGCAGTCTAGGACACAGGGCGTTAGACCGTTAGACCTATGGCGGCCATCAAGGCTTAACAATTTTGGCTATCCCGGCTGCAAAGGGCGGAAACAAGATTCAGCTGTGCTGACAGACTTAACACAGCTCAATCTTTCTTGTGCACCCTTTGCACCCGGCATAGCTGCAGAGCTAAATTAGTCTTGACAAGCAAGACATGTCCTCACGAGAACGGTGTACTCAATGGCTGTGAGCACCCCAAGCGCTCCCCACCTCGTTCACGAAACTGCGGGGCACCGAGGGGCACTGCCTCAGTCTGGATATGAGGTTTGGCTCTAAAAAAGGGACGACTTCCTGAGCGCCTACTGAGCAAACTGGATCCCACTTCTATCACTTGCACTGTACCGTGCTGAACCCTACAGTATCTCCCAATTTGCAGTGGCTGATACCTTCGTGCGTTGTGCTGACGCTAACTTGGACTTGTTCTGCTGCTGCATTGGCTTGCAGCTCATCTGGGCCCCTGAGATCCTTCAACTCTGGTCCCTCAGCACATCGATAAACCATGCCGAAAGCCCAGCGGCCCGCCCAACCAGTTCTCTGAGGTGGCTGGGGCCTGCACAAGCCGAGGGCTTCAAGGCATCACTGAGAGGCTCCGAGACAGGGACGTAGGAAGCTCCGTGATCCAGGGATTCTGGCTGTGCCGCTGCTACAGCATGGCGCTCCGGGGTTCATCGGGAATTGGGAAATGTGACTTCCTCAATGAATCGGAATTGGGACTTTGGGCCATAGAACCTCATGGTGCACTGGGTATGCTGCCTTGCGGAACACTAAATGCCAAAGGCCTCCAAGGTGTTCTCCACAAGCGCTACACGTGGCTCGTGGAGGTAGAGAGTGCCTGCGCTCTCTGCCTCCAGCTGTTGGATTCAAGGTCTGACAAGTTTCGTTTAGGTTGCAATAGGGTTACGCATTCATTCCTTTGGGCCCGAGCGCAAGACTGTGAAATGTTTGAAGTCTCTTGTGGCAGAGGAACACTGTCGTGCCCAGGTGCATCAGACTCGATGACGTCTGTCAGGTCGCAGTCGGCTGGCACTTCCTCCACGAGAGTTGACCCGAAATCAAAGCTTTGGTTGACATCGAACCGGTCTTGTCTTTCAGAAGCATTATCTCGCGGTTCAGGTTGGAGGGTTTCTTTGGGTGAAGGAAACGATGCCAAAGACAACATCAGCTTCTTCACGGACCTACCAATGCTTCTCGCACACTGCGCCTTCAGCACGAGCGTGCCAGGTGTCTTGACCTGCCATCAGTTCACCAGTGACGACTGGAGCGTTGTGGTTCAAGGGTGGAGGAACAGTATTTCCGAATTCATGCTGTAGAGTGGCCCGTAAACCTTCGTCTTCATCTGTGGCAGTCGGCTGGGGAAGTCGAGCGCTACTTGTTGCAGAGGCCAAGGCAGGGTGTTGGAGCTTGAAGTCCGGAAGCATGAAGCTCAAGCTGAAACCTGCGAAAGCCACGAATCCCGAAACCCGAAAGCCACAAAGCCGCTGACAAAAACTACTCACAACCCCGAAGCTCCAAACCCAAAGCTCTGAAAGCCCTTTGCTGCACTTACTGCATTCCACAACTGCTCCCGAAAACCGTAACATGAGCCGACGATCTTTTGAACCCTGGAAATCCTCGGCCTCGAAGACGACTCCTCTCCCTCCCGTTTGGGTGGGCGTGATGGACCACGGCAGAGGGGCCTGCCACTTAGGCGTGCTCAGGTCGGCGCAGGCTTTCAGGCTCCGGGCCCAGTTCAGGGCTTCAAGCTTCACAGGCAGAGAGGGCAGCCCTGTGCCAGAACTTCGGCCCAGGCGAACTTGACTTGGCGTTTCGCATGCAGCGGCTCATCATCCCTGGGCCCTAGACCCTAAATCGCAGACCAAAATCAACCGACACCGGCCCTGCCTGTCTGGACTGCGTGTTGGTGCAATCATCCTCCTGGAGATCGTAGACGGGTTCTGGGTTCTCCATGGGGCTTTGGCAATGGGGCTTCGGAGGTTTCGGGTGCCGGGCAAGGCCTGAGGCTAACTTTTTGGAAAGCAAGTGCTCGAATCTTGCGAAGTGTTGGGGAAGAAACTGTGAAAGGGGCTTTCTGAGAGAGTGGACCTTTCGAAAAACCTATACACCTGCAGCCTTGTACACCACAAATAGCTAGCAAAATAGAAACCGAAAAAGCTGCTTTGAGATGCTTTGAGCATGTCGCCCCCGTACTCAGCTGCGGATGTGATATCATTCCTCTTGACAAGCACTTCAACTATTGGGAGGTTTCAGGAAGTTCGAAGGTCTCGGGCAGCAAAGCGTTTGCATCCACCGGGGCGTGCCTGGCTGAGGAGGACGTTGTCACCCACCTCTCAGGAGGTTCAAGGTCCGATGGACCGGGGGGTTCCCTCCTCAGCCTCGCAGACCTACCCTGGCTGCCAGGCTCAATTCCCCCAACTACCAAAAGCAACGTCCTTTGAGCAAGCCTTCAAAGCTGAATCCAAAGCCAGTCTTATAACCTTCACTCGAATCTGCGCTCGGCTTTAGGCGACCTCACAGATGTAGCCATCAAAGCTGAACGAGGCCCACGTCGATGAGCTGCTCAGCTCTGTTCGAAGGTGCCCAGCCACCCGAAGCCTCGGACAGGCTGCTCTGCAAACTGAAGCCCGCGCTGTTGTGATTCAACCCTCAGCCGAACTGCAATGAACCTGATGAAACGAACCACATGTCGGCTGCAATTACCCGTTACAGTAGCAGTGGCTTGATCTTGCCTTGGCTGTCTTCTGAATGCACTAGTTGAAGTAAACAGCAGCCCGAGTGCTCAGACACTCCTATAATCCTGAATCATGCAACCTGACCTGCGTGACCTGTTCGGTGACTTCAGTGGAGATTCTGGCCGCCCTGTACGGAGATGTTCTTGCCGATATCAGCCGCCGACAGTGCCTTGCTGCGCCACCTTTCCAAGCAACGACAAGAGAATAGCATGATTGCACATCAATCATCTATCTGTCGATCTGTCTATCTGTCTATCGAACTATCCATGTGCATAGATATCTCTCTCTCTCTCTCTATATATATATATACACATATAAACATATACTACATATATATATATATATATACAAATACATATTTATTTATTCATTTTTATTTATTTACTTTTTATTTTGTATCTATTTATTTATTCACTTATTTGTTCATGTATTTATTCATTTATGTATTCATTTATTTAGGTGTTTTTTATATGCACACACACACATACAAATCCACACAGACAGACAGATGAACAGATGGACAGACATTCAGGCAAACAGACAGCCGGCCGACCGGCCGGGGCGGGATGGGGCGGGGCGGGACGGGGTGGGGTGGAACCCAATGCATTCTGTTCCTGGACGGCGTCCCGGCCTGGATCCGACGGAGCATTTCTCGCGGGCGCGTTCGGCAGCCGAAGTTTGCGGCGCGGCACGTTTCCGGTAGAAGGCCTGCTTCCATGCAGGTTATGTTCGAAACTCGGTGACACCTACACTTTCAACGGAACAACAATGCTGCCACACGACTAGACTGCAGTTTAGCACGACGACATGAAAACTCTGACGTCACTTGGTTCCATCCCCGCCTCACCTGGACTCTGGACTCTACGGTATCTACGTTACTCCAGGCCAAGAAACCCGGTGCAGACTCGCAGGGAGCTCCATCTGCTCACGAATCCACGCATCGTAGCCTCAAGGAGTCAACATAGCTCCAAACTATAGATCTGGCATGTGAAGAGAATCTTCCAGAACGGAGTTGTGAGAAGGCCACTTGCCTCGGGCAGCTAACCACAGCTTTGGTGAGCATCCAAGGTCCCCCTTCCGAACCCAGACGCAGAAAAGGAGATGTTGAAATATGCTCCTCCGCTGGGTTAGTGGCCTTCACACAGGCTCAGGCGCGGTGAGTCCTAAAGAGCGCATTGACACCCGGAGCGTGCTGCGCGACAGCCCAATCCAAATTCACTTTGCAAAGCATTTGTGGATGCGGTTGTTGGAGGGTTCCTGTCCTTCCGCCGGGGAGCCAACACCATCAATCTCGGCCATGCTCGCACGAGTAGGTCCGAACGAGGCCTGTCATGCAAGTACTTCTCAAGATGGGTGGCTCGAGATTTAAATTCACCCTTGTCAACATGCTACAATCATCTATAAGCAGGTGCTCTTCTCAACCCGGAAGCTTTAGGCAGTTGGAACAGTGTACTGAAACACATGCTAAACTGCAGCATGCAAGACTGCAACTTCCGAGTCATCAGCCCCAAATCCTCAATCCCACTCTTGCAAAGCTTTGCGACCAGAAGCCCTCAGGAACATGAAACAGTTGAGAAGGGCGCAGGGACCTGCAAGAACACTCAGAGCTGAAATCTGAAACGTTCGAAAGACGTCGAGGCCGAGACATGGTCTACGGATGTCTAAGGTCCCTAGAGCCTTTCATCTCCGGGACCTCTGCTTTCAATTCCCGAAAACCCAAGGTGACCGTGCCCCTGGCGCAGTTCCAAGCAGAAGTAGAACGCAACTCTTGGGAGGGCATCGCTTCGACATCACTTTCTCGGCCCGGCAGATCTCCCACTGCAAACATGTAAAATGTGTAGCCTGCATCAGAAAATGGGCGTCTGCACGTTCATCCGCTGGCGCTGGGGCATACGGTGTCGTAGTGGTGGTGGTCTTGCATTGCGAGTAGTACCTGGCAGAGGGAGTCTTTGCCGCGACAGGAAACCTCCACTCCCGATCTAGATTCTCCTAGGGAAACCACTTGCATTGGTTTTCCAGCTCTTCAGTCGAGACACGGTCCGCCGTAGACGCACCACCATCCGGGCTCGCAGCATGTAACTCCCTGGTCAAGGTGCACTTCGCAACGTTGCGAGAATGGTCCGAGTCCTACCACGTCCTACCACGTCCTACTAGTTACTAGTTTACTAGTAAGTTTCCTGAATCATTGGATTCTGTGCAGCCCATCACCGTGCAGCTTTGCTACAGTCCGCTAGCTGCACTACGACTGTGTGACTTTGTGCTCTTGCCCCAGCCGGCCTTGTAGTTTATGCCACCACACTGGTTGTAGCGTTTTCGGCACTCGACTGTGGTTGTCGTCGTGGTGGTGGTAGGGCCTCCTGCAGTTGTGGTCGGAGAGGGCGTGGTGGCCGTCGTGACGGTGGTGGCCGTGGTGGCTGTGGTGGCCGTTGTGGTCACTGCTGGGGTAGTAGTTGGTGCAGCTGTCGACGCTTGGGTGGAGCTGCTTGGCGTGGTGGTCGTGCTCGTCCCGGTAGAGGATGTCGTTGCCGGCAACGTAGATGTCATGGTTGTGACATTAGGCAAGCACTGCGAGTAGAATTCACTGTCAGCTTTGCAGACGAAGCCAGCTTCGCAGCAGGTACTTCCCTCATGGTTGTTCCCGCCACATTGAGCGTAGCCTTTCTGGCACGGTGCGATGCTGGTCGAGCCAGCTGTTGTGCTGCCCACGTCGGTGGTTGAGCTTGGAGCCAAAGTCGTCGTGCTGACACTCGTGGTTTCAGTGACGCTTGCCGTGGTGGTGGCGGGTGCCGTGGTCGGAGCCTCCGTGCTGCCCTCGACAGGTCGGCAGTCAGAGTAGAAGTCATTGTCGTATTTGCAGAACAGCCCAGCCTCACAGCACCTGGAGCCCTGCCAGCTCTGACCTCCGCACTGCTGAAACTTGCCGCGGAGCTCGGTTCCGGGTGCTGAGCAATCCACCGGTACAGTGGTGGTGGGTGCAGTGCTCGGCTTGCACTGCGAATAGAAGTCATTGACGAAGATGCAGTCCCAGCCATAAATGCAACAAGTCTCTCCGTTGTAGTTCTTGCCACCACATTGCGCATACTTTCCCCGACAGTTCTTGGCCTCCACTGTCGTCACTGGAGCAGGGGCTGTTGATGTAGTGGTCGCAGCCTCCGTCGTCGTGGTGGTGGTGGTTGTAGTTGTGGTGGTCGTGGTCGTTGTAGTGGTCGTCGTGGTGACTTCTGTGGTGGTCGTTGCTACCGTCGTTGTGGTTGGCATTGTGGTGGTCGTGGTCGCCCCAGATGCGGAAGACATGGAGTACCTCAGATGGAGCAAATCGCCGGCAGCTGCGAAGAAAGCCCGGGCGCCGAGCTGCCCGAGCTTTTAAAGACTTGTTAATGACCGCAAAAAAGCCAGCCTGCATCGTTCCCTCAAGATCTGCGAAGTTGCTAAAGCTCTGCTTTTTATGAATGCACATGTACAAGTTTCGTAAAGAGAATCACACTGGATCACGAAACCCAGGCCAGAATGGACCAACCCTCGACCCTAAACCTCACTGCCCTCTTTCCCGGCAGTGCCCACCCCTTCCCCATGTAACTCTCTGGTGCAAGGAGCCTTAAGCAGGTGAAGCCACTCAGTGCCTCTGCAGCGCGGCCGTGGACCGTTGCAATATGTTGCAATCAAGGGGGGTTCTACTTTAATGAAGCTGCCCACTTTCTGAGTGCAAAAGGGTGGGCTCATGGATGACACACGCTGCTTCCAGACGGCCCCTGACAAGTTGTCAGCGTCGTACGACCCCTTGAATCCTACGCTGCGAAAAAGTCCCTGATGGATCTGGAAATCGACAACCTGAATCACTAGACCTTTGCCGTGAACTGAAATCTGACTCTGGGAAGTTTCCATACCCTGTGAGCACCTTCACGGCCTGAATGCCCCCCGTCACGGTCCAGACTTCACAGCGGCCAGTGCTGTACCTCTCGATCTCGATCGATTGGTTGGGGATTTTACGGCTGAGGAGTTCTTAGAGACGAGACCCGGAGCCTCCATCTGCAGCCCATTAAGACTCGTTTGCATGCGAAGCCAACAGTCAGAGTCTTCAGCCAGGCCACTCGATACCTTTGCATGCTGGCTCCTCCCGGCAGCTTTGCTTGCCTCAGGTCTGCATGCAACTCTTGGGGTTTCCGGAGAGGCTTTCGGGCTGCGCAAGAGGCTCCGTGAAAATCCATGAGCACGGTTTGCCATCCCAGGACTACTGGTAGAAGAGGTTTGGGGTGCAGGTGGCGGCATGGCTCAGCCTTATGACCAATAAGATTTCCTGTTGTTTGGGCACTTCGGCATAGCTGAACATGCAGCAACTCTCCCAGGGTGGGATAGCCCTGGGACGAGCAAGCCTAGGGCAATTCTCAAACTGCTCCAGCTGCAGCTCATGTACACACAAGCTTCACTTTTCTTGCTTCAATTCCAAATTCATTCACGCACACCGGCAGATGCACGACTGCATCTTCAACTAAAGTGGGAAGGATTGCCGAGCCTTCATGCAACGGCCCTGCGTGTCTTGGGGAGGTCGCATTGCGTGGTTCTCGGAGTCGCTTGAATGGCTGCAGGAC